CAATTATCAGGCAAATTCAAGAAAATTTTCATAGAGAAAAATTGATGACTCTTTTATAGAGGACCGCCGAGATTTTGCTATGCCACCTAGAATTGCAAGCAAAAATTGCATCTAATCGCGTGTCTATGCTTACTGGTCCAGTAGAAGCAGTTCTAGAAAAAGAGATAGGTGCATTGACGACGAAGTTTTTACCCAGAAATCTAATTGTAAGAATATTTCAGAAGTTGGCTTAAACCTACTCAAAGATCTAGTAAGGAAGATGCGCAGCATTTTGACTCCATTTATGGCAGATTTGAAATCGTCGGAAACTTCAGAAGATAAGAGCATGGACGATAGGGATGCTCAACTCAACGTAAGTCTGCGGGGTTGTCCGTGCCAGCGCGGTGCAAGCGCCATGCCAGCTCCGTGCCCCAGGCATCTGATTGCATTACTATAAGCGACATTGCTGGCACAGTTTTAGCACAGCAGTAACATTGCGGTCCTGGCACGGACTGGAACGGCTATGGCACAGCGTCGGTACAGCGGCAAATCTGGACTTAATTTTGAGACTAGACCATATGTACGCTTGCAATCCTTTTAGAATTTTGCACAACGGCAAGCGGTATACTCTATGATGAGGGAGGAGGAAGACGAGAAAAGGAGAGAGGAGGAGCTATCAAACAAAACTGCCAAAGAAAAAGTTGAAAAATTAATGAAGAAGAAACCATCTTGGGCGGAATTTAAGACTAGTGTACGATCAGTCTGGACACTTCCTCCTAGCCATTTTTGTAACTTCAAAATTTTATAGCAAGGCCGACATATAGCGAAGCGTATATCGAAACGATGTAATGACATTTTCGTGAAGGGAGTGGACAAGTGTCGCGACCTTATGTCATCTGTAAAGGTTAGAAAATTTTCTTGTAATGATAAGTGCATTTATAAAATGATTTTTGCAGGACAAATGTTACAAGGCCATGCCCTGGTTTTTGATGTTTTTCGTATGTCCACGAGTAAATGCAGAAGAAGCTTGTAACGTGGGTTATCTCCGTAAATTCTTTTGAAATGAAAAACATTTTTTTATTATAATTTTCAAGATCTTGAATTTTTCATGACCTTATCTATTATCATATTGAAAAATAAAGACTTATAGAAAATCCTACATATCAAAGTTCTCCTCTCACTCTCAATCACATTGTTTGCTGGCTTTAGTTGACTAGAAATTTTCGGGTCAAATAAATTTCTGTTCAAATCATATCAGTTTTTTGCATTTATTTTTCAAGAGTGACCCTGCAGAGAAATTTTTTTGAAAAAATAATATTCAACTTGTCTTATTGTAATGTCCTCTCTATCTAAATTTTGACAAATCTGCCAGCCTTTAATTCTCTGCCATTCGGGGTGATTGCAAAAAGTAAATCTCAGAAAGAAATAATCTGTAATTTCTATTAGATTTTTTGTTAAACATTGAACACTCTTTCTTATTATTTCTGTAGAAATTACATTCATTTTTATTCGACTGACATATGCGTAATTCAAACTCCTGCCTTATATCATTTTCAAAGTGATTTTACGAGAATTGTTTTTTCGATCTGATTGTTTTAGATAATGGAACGGCGCACAAAATCCTTATCTGTCTGCCAAAAACACTTGAAAAATGCTCAGATGAGTGGTCAAATGGAAGGAGATGTCAATGACGTTGTAAACATAACTGATAGTCTGGATGATGAGCTCCAAGCAAATGTGACACTTTTTTGCTGTTTTCTTTTTTGATGACTCTTTCTGATTGAAGTTACACATGCTGCTTGTGGAAATGCCAAGATTGGAAAATGTGTTCAAAGTCACTGAATTGAAAATGTTTGTTACTATGGGAGCAAATTACGTGAAGGTCAATATAAACAGACAAAATTACTGTCAGACTATTCAGTTTTTAGGTAGTGCTGAAAACAGCATCGAAAGTGGTACAAGCATTGTTTATCTTCTTCGTCTATACTATTTTTCGTGATGCTGTGAAAATGATAGAAAATTATAAGACCGATGTGGATTTCAATAATCGTTTTATTACTGGGCAAGTTTCCAGCATTTTCACAATTTTCTTGATTTTATTTGTTTAAGTTTTACAGCGTATTTTGGCAAATTGACCATCATCGTGAGTTACTTGGTCAGCAGGCAATTCGTTATATTTCGAAAGCTGAAATGCGAGAATGGAAGCTACTGAGATTTTTTAGGTACTGTAAATACACAGCACTGAGCTCTTCAATATGTAAAAAGAAAAATAACTACCGGGGCAAGACCGTGGTCGAAAAACTGACAAAAACTGGGCGGAGTCAGAAAGAAATAAGCAGCAAAATGTTTTTCTGTCTCCCCTTAGCATACTACTCACCATTGTTTTTTTTTCGATTTTCAAACTGTTTCGTTTGAGATAAAAGTGGCATGAGGAGGGCGGGGAGGGGGAGGGGGACAAGGGGCCTTACGACCCATTGGTGGGTCGTATACTCCAAAATGGCAGCACGCGTACGATCTACTAATGGGTCGTATTGTCGTGAATGTGTTGAGTGAACGCAATTTTAGCCCTCCAACCCGTGGGGAACTGAATCAAGCCAGATTTGCGCTGATGACTTGGTTTGTCGCTGCCTTTGTTGCTGCTTTACTGATATTTATGGACTACTACCTATACGCATTCTTGAATGCGGTAAGTGTTCACCACAAACGGCGGTCCCGTGCCAGCGCCCTCTAAGCGTCGTGCCAGCACCGTATCAGCGCTGTCGCCGTACTAGCCTTACGGGTATT